CATGAGGATTGCAGAGGCAGATATGCATAAAATCAAGGACTTCAATGAACAATTATCAAGCGAGTTTGAAATGAAGGATTTAAGTCTGATCAAAAAAACCTCGAAATGAGAATCAACAGGGATAGGAGTGATAGAACACTAAAGCTGTCCCAGGCGGAGTATGTTCAGAAGCTCCTACAGAGATTCAACATGAGTGAGACAAAATCAGTTAGCACCCTCTTAGATAGTCACTTCAAATTATCTAATAAGTTATCACCTAACTCTGAAGCAGAGCAAGCACGGATAAGGAGAACTTTGTATGCTTCAGCAGTTTGAAGTTTAACGTACACGATGATTTGTACTAGACCAGATATTGTATATGTAGTGAGAGTGACCAACAAGTATATGGGCAATCCAGGTTGGCATCATTGGGAGATGGCAAGGTCGATTCTCAGGTATTTGATGGGAATAGTCAACAGGGTATTTTGCTATGGAAGTGCGGGGATCAGTCTACAGAGACTTGTAAATCCAGATCTAGAAGGAGATGTGGAAAGTAGAAGAAGTATAAGGTATTTCTTTACAATGGGGAACACGACGGTGAGTAGGGTTTCCGGGTTGCATAAGATCGTTACACTTTTAATTACGGATGCCTAATATATATCACTGAGGCTAGCAAAGAGATGATTTGACTATAGAGTTTTATGGCATAATTGGGCAAGGAGCAGGGCGTTGGAAAGCTTTAGAATGATAGTATGGGAGTGATTCATCTTGCTAAGAATATTATTTTTCATGGCAGAACAAAACACATTTAGTTGATGTATCATTTTATAAGCTCTTTCCTAGAAGATGGTCAATTGTTCTTAAAGAAGATACACGGCTCAGAATCCTGCAGATATGTTGACGAAAGTGATGACAATTGAGAAACTGAAGCTATGTTTGGCTTTAGTTGAATTTCATGAAGGTTGAGACCGAGGGCGAGCAACACTACGGTTCATGACTATCAAGGTGATACAAATGGAGGTGTAGATATAGAGCGCATGTGTAGAGTGCAATCAATCTCCATTAGGTTGTTATGGTGTAGAGCCTGATTGGAAGCACCAGAAACACCACAACCATAACAACATGCTGAAGAGACTAAGAACCAAGCTACGGGCATCCCTGCGCCGAACCAGGGCGCTCTTGCGCCCAATTAGGGGAGCTCCTACGCCCAGTGTGGGAGCCCCTGCACCAACCTCATGGGCGTTCAAGGCTTTTCTTCCTGAGCCACGGGAGCTAAGGCGCCCAATTTCGAGCACTTTTGCGCTCAATGTGGTTAGTCCAAGATTAGACTTAAAAAGTATTATTTCGAGTGGCGAGGTAGGAAGTTCCCGTGCGTATTTCTTTCGATAATTTTCCAATGAAGGTGAGAAGCGTCAGAGAGGAAAATTTCGCATGTGTTTCTCTTGTCGAATTGAGAGAGAAGATTTGGAGTAAAGTGCAATAAATTTCATTGATTGTAAAGATAAAATTTAAGTGTGTTCTCTGTAAAACTTTATGAATTTATAGAGAATTTTTTTTTATAGTATGACTGTGATTTTTTCCTATTCTCAGGTGTTTCCACGTTAAATTCTTGTATGTTTTTCTGAATTATCTTTGTTGTGCTTCCGTTCATAATTTTTTATTTTAGTTTCCTCGAATATGTGTGATTCAATTCCCTATTGTGATTTAGATTTAAATTGAGTCTAAGCCCTGATAAAGTTGAAGGAGATTGTTTCATCCCAGCATGGCCAAAAGGGATGTTCTATTGAACCAGACAGCATGAAATGGTGTAGGATGAGGTATAAGAGATAAATTGGCCCCTAACAACGTAGCTTTAGAGACAACATTCATCAAGTTGCCTCAATTAATAAATAATTGAAACTTTTTGTTACTAAGTGGCATAAGTATAGATGTGCTTTTAGTCATCCCTAAACAATAAAGAGGTTGGAATACAGGGCATGATGATTAAATTTGAAGCACTAAAGGTAATTAACCTAGAGATAGAGTCATTGAACTGAAACTCTCTATAAAAACCATTAACCAAATAATTATTAGACTCTATTTTCTTAAGAAATATGAAGATTGACTAGTGATGGTGCTTGCGACACTTGAAGTAGGTAGTGGGACCTATAAGTGCTTTTAAGAGCAGAGAATCTCTATAGAAATAATGCTTAGCTTAGGTTAAGTTAAGCTATGAATATTTTTTATTGACGAGATTATCTAGAGGTAATAGGCTAACTAATGTGTGGAAATTGTCCCCATATAAAGTTAGTAGTGTTTTTGTTTCTATTATTTCCTAATTTCTAAAGCATGATGATAAGGATTTTCAATAGATTTAGATACACGTGCTTGAACTACATTTTAATAGCCAAGTACACACCCTGAATAAAACTAGTTATAATGGCCCACTCTTTGTTCGAATATAATGCACCTATTATCTAACAGAGAGAATGCTCTGTTGTCGGTTATACAATTGGTGTTTGATGTAGACAATAATATCGTGGAGGTGTTTTCATAGCCTCTTATGCCAATGGGTAATAGGGTTCATCAGTAGTATAATGAATTCATTTATAACACTTATCCAACGGTGTTTGGAAGAGCCATCAACTACATGCTTGCATGCTAAACATGTTTGATCTCAGACATTACACTAAGAAAATACATCCTCATCCTGATTAATCTAGTCCAAGGAAATCATTCAGGTCATAAAGCCCATCAAATAGAGAAACAACTAAATTGATGTGCCTAGACGAAATAGGATTCCCATCACCTTGGTGTAGCAAATCATCGTGCTATAGAAGTGTGAGTTGGGGAGTATCATGAGGGTCCTAAAGATAGTGGTGAACATAAACTTGACGATGAGGTGGATAGTGTCTATAAGTCTATAAAATTTTTATCAAATGCTTCATTGTTTGGAAGTCAAGTAGTAATACAGCGAACAATTGGTTCAGCATGATGAATAGGAGGGGGTAAAACAAAATCCTGAGAAATGCTTTTCCAAGTTCTGTCAATCCGCCTTCTTATAAATTCTAATTGATTCATGATTGCATTAAGTATTATTCTACAATGTCTTGTCTCAATCCGCATTATTCAAATTCATTTTCAATTGAGTGAAGTGATCAAGAGTTTTGATTTGTTTTCATGGATTTTCAATTTTATCATTAATAAACTCAATTTGTAGTGAATAAAATGAAACTTACATGATGGTAAATTTGACAGAGTAAATTTAGCAGGAGGAGATGTAAGCAAAATCAACAAATACTTTTCAAATTTTGCAAAAGATTTTCCTTGAATTAGATTGAAATTAGAGTAAAAATCAAGCAGTAGACAAACAAGCAATATATCAGGACAGATTTGGAATTTCTGATTTTCTGGGTATGAAAACAGCATAAAAACAAGATAGAATTGAAATTTTGGAACGTACATGTAATAGCAGGTTTTTTATTATATTTTTAACTTTCTGGACAATATAAACCTATCCAAGAATTGACAAATCTACATTTTCTTAGCAGATCTCCAAGAAAAAGAACTGAAAGGTAAAATAATTTTTTTCTTGGGTCACAAGAAAATCCCAAAAAATCATGAAAGGAATACTAGTAGTGGGGCGTGGTTGGGAGGGAAAATAGCGAGCGAGGAATCAAATCATTCATATTCTTAGTGAAAGCCTCAAGAAAATACGACATTTTGATGTACCTCATCCAATAATGAATCAAGGGTGGATTAAACTAAGAACGGTCAATGGTAAGGCTTGTAAGAGTACCTTAAATCTCTACAAGCTGCCAATTTCAGCTAGCCCAAGGATACAATAAATGTAAAAAAAAATCAACATGATTCTTGAAAGATTTGGAACAACTGGAGATCAAAATTCATTATAAAAAATTGGAAATTGAAATTCAAAAGAGCTCTGAGAACTTGGGAGAAACCATTATGCATAGCTTTCATCCATTCCCTAACTCTTTAACTTCTACTAGTCATCAACCTTTTGGGGGAGATCTTGTGTGAAAGTCTGAAAAGAGTTTCGAACACTTGAAAAATCCTCTTGCACCATAGTTTCTCTGATACACAGTTCTGCCAAACTGGATGATCTCTACAACTGGAATATATCAAGGCAGGCAATCTGGCCATCTCCCTCCCCTTTTTCTATGCAGTACCATTCACTTATTTCGTTCATTAATGACCAATTCATCTCGTACAATCACTACGATAATCTCCTTTGTTGACAAATGTTTAGCTATCATTCAGACAAAAATCTATATACCATTCCTTAATATCTCCCCAATCAATTTCAAGGCAGAAATCCTACTTTGTAAAAGGGACAAAATCTTGTTTTTGCTGCTATTTTAATGAGAAAAGGACCCTTGTATTTCCCATTTTAAGCTTTATGGGTGAAATAAAAATTCTCACTATCGTTTGTGAGAATTAAATGATCTTAATTCTAGGAAGACTTGGGCTTATTGTATTAAAAATGATCTTAATTTACTAGAATTAAATAAAAATATGACTCTACATAGGACGCAATGGAGAAAAAGGATACATGTAGCCAACCCCACGTAGTGGGATTAAGGCTTTGTTGTTGTTGTATCGTTTGTGTGCTCAGAAATTTCAAGATAGGACCGCCCTAACATTGTTTCAACATTCTTAGTTTATAGGAATATTTCCAGCAGTAACAATGAGAACAAAAGCATAACAATATTGGAAGTCTACATTCAAATTACGCAGCTTGTCAACCTCAAAAAGGGAAATTAGCTCTCTTGTTTGAGAAAAAGAGCGTGCACTTCGGATCCTATACAATCTAAAATACATTTTTTCTTCAAAATTACAAAAATAAGCATGAAAGTAAGATATAGCAATGATCATTCCTAGTTGTGAGAGGGTTAAATCTTAATTCAATCACTGCATTGCCTGTCCCACAATACCTAAGTGTTTCAAGTCCTAGCACAAAAAATAATACATTAGCTATCAAAATTGCAGGAAAAAGATAATAGAAGTGCGGAGAGAATTACAAGAAGCAGACACAAAGGAGACTTTAGGATTGCCGATCGTCCTTTGAACCTGTGGTAGTTGCACAGCCCGTGAATCTTCAAAAAAACCCCTCTGAACTCCACTTCTTTCCAGTATTATAATCAATCCTCCTGAAAGGAATTTCAGTGTTCATCCTTCTCCCAGGAAAGAAAGATCGATGCCCTGCCCATGCCAAACTACACTGCATAATGGAATTGAGCGAAAACGCAACCTGAAAAAAATATACCAAATAAAATCATGCTCACATTATCAATTCTCCCTAATAACTTGAGTTCATCATGCATTGTTGGTAAAGTAATAGGGTTTAAAACAGCCAAGAGATAATGTAGTCCCTCAGGTTTCATCGAGGATTTGGTTGGAAATAACTTCCCCAGTATCCTAATCCAAAATCCCCCAGTTTGAGATTTATGGTCTGATCATGAACTCATTAATCCCAAACCAACCAGTTAAAATTTCGACAATAACGGCTGAAATCAAAGTCAAAAAATGAATGAAAACTTCACACAAACCTTAATTTCCGTAACACCAAATTTTCAAGATTGTGCATACACATCCATCCCAACCGAACAAAAGTCAAGTCAAAACACACACACACGCACACAGAGTCAGGGGTGTGCGGGGAGATCACCTGTGAACACATATCGAACCACCAGAGAAGACAAGTTTGGAGAGAACCGAGAAGAAGAACAGATAGCAAAGGATCAATGGCGGCGGTAATCCCACCTTCTCCATCTATTTAAAACTGCTTATTTATAGCCTGCCTTCAAGATGACGTAGAGCGAGAAAGAGAGAGAGAGAAATTGGAGCGTGGATTAGGGTTTCTAAAAAGAAACTTTCACGCATTACTAAAACCAGGTGGAAGACGCTTATCGTCATCAGATGGAAGGCACCGACGTCCCGCAACTTCCTTGTTTTGTACTCCGCTTTGGGAATTTTTCGGAACTCGGAAACCTAACGGTGGCTCTGCTTAGCTCAAATTAATATCAAGTAAGCGGCGGGGTATTTTGGGGTATTTGCGACACATTTTTAAATACAATTTAATCATGAATTTTATTTAAATTCAAAAAAACACCACCTGGCGGATAACACAGATTTAGATTGATGTTTCTCACGTGCTTCCTCTTCCTTACGAATTGATTGCATTTAATGAAATTAATAAATCCTGTTAACATATATCTCTGCCCGCAGCGAAACATATAAAATTATATCTACAAATAAATTTTTATAGTCCGACACGAATTTTGAGACATGGTTCGATATGATATTTTAAGTAAGAAAAATTCAAATCTTGATAAAAATTCCTCTAGACTCCAATTTTAGCAAACGTATAATCAAACTGACCGGCTCGATGAGACAGACTTAATAATATAAAAACTAGTTTAATCTGAATCAAATCAAGCTTAAATCAAGCCACTAAACCACCCTTGGAAGATTTATTAACACATTTAGAAGGTACAACAGATGTTGACACAAGCAAGCCTAAACTCAAATCGAGCGTCTCAACAAGACAAATCCAACGAGCCTAAGATCACTCAATTCCGACATCGTTAAGACACGACATCGCTAAGGCACTCTAATGTCCATTAAACGTCACATGATCGAAGGATTAATTACACTTAACTCTAATGTCCATTAAACGTCACATGATCGAAGGAAACTCTTTGGACCGTCCGATCAAAATGGTAGATATTCTTGCATTAATTACACTTGCACTTAGAACACTATAAATAAACATTCATCTCTCACATGAGGGGAAACTGAAGTTTAGAGAGAGAGCCTGAGGCATTGAGAAGAAGCTGCAGCTTAGCATCACTGTCAATCGTCGTCGACCACCGCCGACCTCCGACGACCACCGCTGACAGTTTTCGACCGCCACCGATTTTCTTCAACCTCTGCAAATCGCCATCGACTACAAATAACCACCATCGATCACCACCAACCAGACGCCATCAGTCAACGTTGTAATCTAAAAATATAGTTATTATTTTCCGTCTGTGGGACAAGGGATTTCTGTAATCATCAATCAATGGTAGATTTATGCAACTAGGTCAGACCCCGTTGTTTTTCCCTTACAGGTTTTTCACGTAAAAACTTCTGAAATCATCATTGTTTGTTTCTCTTTCATCTGTGTGTGTGCTGAACTTTCGTACAACTCTAAGACAATAATTCGTTACTCTACCGCTGCGAATTTTCCAGCACGCCTCAATATATAATTATATTCTACATAAAATTTGAATATATATTGATATCTCTACAATATGTGTAATTATATCACACACAAAGTTGGATAAGGGTTAAATTTTAGTAGGGGTGTCGAGCATTTATGTACATACCTAAAGTAACCAAATTATATAAAATAAATTACAAATTTTTAGCATTTAGGAATGGGCTGTGGGGACCACCATATCTTTTTATCGTAGGTGAAGTGCCATGTGCTCATTATGGATTTATTTGGGAGGGCTTCTCTTTTTATAAAAACTTTCTTTAAAACTAGCTTCATAAAATAAATGGTATAAAATTACAAGTTCAAAAAATCAATATTAGTGTTTGAATAAAATAAAAATTGTGTTTTTTGACATTATTATTCAGAATCATGTTTAAGACTAAAATAATTCTAATATTTTTAAATTATAATCATCGTATCTAATACTGCTGAATTATTTATAGAAAATTAAATTTAAATACTAATAAATCAGACAAATTTGAATTTATCAGGTTCATATGCTGCAAAATTCATAATAGTGTTCGAGTTAAGTTGTTTCGACATGTTTTATTTTAAAATTGAATAGCCATTAATTTTCAAAGAATTTAAAGAAGAAATACAGAGCTTACATGGCAATAATTATAAGAAAATAAAAAAATAAAGTCATGTCCAAAATTTATTTAAAAAAAAAACTCAATTTTTTTCTTCCAAAATCACATGGTGTCGTGGAACTCTTTTGCCCACTTTATAATCATCTTCTTCAAAACTTCATTTTTTACCCTCTATAATAATCAAAAGTTTTAACTAAATAAATAATAATAAATAATAATAAATATAAAGTGTCAGCAGTTAGAGGAGTGACGCCCACTCACAAAAATCATAACGCATGCTCTTTTGCACTTCCCCTCATTTGAATTAGACAATCAAGCCAGAGGGAGAGCAAAAAGATCAAGAGGGAGAGCAAAGAGATCAAGAGAGAGAAATCTCTATCGTGCCATAGTCAAGGAACGAAGAAGAAACTATAGGAGGGGTTGAGCAACTTATTATCTGTCAGTGAAGCAAGTCGAAGGAGGAGAAGAAAAGGAAGAAGAAGCCCTAAGGAGGAGGTCACACTCAACGTTGTGCTAACTTTGTTGAAGAGGAGGAAGAAAGGAAGTCGTGCCATCTTCGCGTGCTGAAGAGGGAAGATATGGGATTTGCGACATTGTTTGCTTGCAGGAAGAAGAAGAGAAGGGGAGCAGAAGCACGTGATCCTTGCGTGTGGCATGTGCAGCGGAAGGAGGAGGTTTTGCGTCTGCTCTGTTGGGACGAGTCGGGACCAAAGGAGAGGTGGAAGAAGGGAAGGCTCTCTGCAATGCTTTTCCTGTGTGTTAAGCCTATACGTCTCGAAAGTAAGCAGCAGTGTATGGGATCAAAGCTTTGGTTAAGTATTTGATGTTTTTAAGTTCTAAATATATAAATTTAATTACTTAAATACAATATAATATTAACAAATCAAGTTTATGAATTTAAAATATGCATTGTTAGTAGAAGATTGTGTGAGAAGGACTATCAAGTCGATCAATTATTGTCTACCAAGTTTTAGTTATATTAATTTAATTAATGGATTCTATATGCATATTTAAGTTTATTCCCAAGTATTAATATTAAGTGTATTTGAAATCAGAAAGTACTTCTAGTAAATGAGATGTAGTTATGAGAGTGAGGGGAGAAAGAGAAGACTTGTGCAAGGAAGCAAGCAAAATTTTAACGTAAGGAATTGCAAATTGATTTATATGTGGCAATTTAATTATGTCATCACATATATGCAAGTATATGTCAGTCTTTCCTTTAGAATGAGAATCATATAACATATGCACATTTAATTAATATGGTTGATCGACAAAGCAGTTAGTTGAGAAATAAATATTTCAGAGGTCTCTCAATGTAAATGAGAGTAATGTTTTTTCTTATAGGCATTAAATTAAGACTTTATAAGAGGAATAATTATTTTACTAATAGATTAAAATGATTATTTTGTTAATGTCTTGCAATTTAAAGTTTGAATTATGTTTTGCAAATAATAGAAATATAACTAACATATGAAATTTTAAGTAAATATTTAAGTCATATAGAATTACCCCCGATGCCACTGGCAGAGGATGCGACGTACTTGTGCACGATAAAGAAAATGGTAAAGGTGTACATTCAGATGCAATTTTAAGGATACATTTGAGTATATTTTTTAGAGTGCTTTCGAGTATATTTTTTTATGATATATTTGGGCATGATAGTATTCTTATTATGACTCTTAAATAGATTAACAAGGGTAAATACTTAAACTAAAATAGGTTTATCTTAAGGATAAATATAAGGATAAATTTAAAGTGAAAGTCTAAAGTTTTATAAGGTAATGAATTGCATTTTCTTTTGATCATTCATGCATATCATTGACATAATAATTGAATGCATATTAAGATTATAATTGCTCATTAAGTCAAACTTATTGTTGAATTTATTTGTTATTTCAGAAAAAGAAAAGTTATAGATTGATGTCGCAAAGGAAAGACTTGATTTATAAGAGGAGGATCACTGCTATTAGGTATTTATAATGATACCTTTTTATGTTGTTTCATATAGATAGTGATATATTGTTCAGTACTAATTTGAGATGTTGTTTTCAGATTATGTTGTTGTTTTTGAAAGTTTTGTTGCACTTCGTGGATTTTAGTTACTTTTTTATATATTAGAAGTTTATATAAATATGTGGATATTTATTTAAATACTTTCACCGTCCGACTGTAGTTCATGACTTAGTTAATTCTAAACAATCAGGCTAGGTCACGACCAAAGTGATATGAGAGCAGATTATGTTAGATCATGATAAAAAAAAGTCATTATGACAATTAAATTGATATGAATTAATGGTTAAATTGTGTTTAATTATATTTTTTCTTATATTGTTTCAGAAATATGAAAAATCATAGAGAAGAAAGTAAAGATAATGTGATTGAAGTTGATACAACCACACAGATTACTCTGTGTGTGTGTGTGTGAGTGTGTGTGTAGGCACACACACACACACACACACATTTACGGATATGAAGACTACAATAACATAGTTGATTAAAAATTCTCAGACTCGGGTCAGTTTTAGTAGGAGATGCTAGATGGACAAGTATTTAAAATTATTTTAGGATATGAGACCCCTCTTTTTTTGAAGAAGGAGGTCAGGTGGATGTTGAAAGCTGACTGCTAAGGGTGGATAAATCTTAGATGGGTCATTCTTCATCTTAAGAGGAGCGTTACTCTGGTCATATTTGCATTAGGGGGAGAAGCAAAGAGATGATGTCGAGGTCAGTTGTGAGAGAAATATAGGGATAAAGTCAATGACATGATTCAGTAGGATGAGTTCATGAACACCATTAGAGATTGAATTGAACCACCATCTATCATGATACAGAAGTAGGATAAATTTATTTGATTGATGCAAGGTGATCCATCCGTTATGAAACATGAAGTTGAATCCACCATCTCTCAAGGCATACACCTCAATTGATTCCAAATACAGAGGAAAAGTGTTATTGATTTCTATCTGAGGTGAAATATGTGATCAGACAGTCATTGATTCCTCTTGAAATCAATATTATTCTATTTTGGTGGGGAGAGCTGGAAGGATTGAGTTGGATCTAGATGTTACTCGGAGGATGAGAGACATTAAGAAGAGGAGAAATTCAGATGGAACTAGTTGTCGTAA